CGTTTTCAATGACCTCATCATGGGTAAATATGTAACTTATTGAGATACCAAAGATAGGGCATAGATTGCTATTACTATTTTCAGTGACATCAAGTTGCAACTATTGGGATAAAGGGTTTTCATTTTCTAGTGTCCTCTACACGCTACAGTGTGCTACAATAAGAATTTTACATACATTATCAAATTTATTCATCACAATAGCTCTATGAGGAGGTATTATTATCCCCATTTTACAAGTGAAAACATTGTTCAGCAAGTACTCAAGGCCACCAAGCTGACAAATGCTAGAAGTGAGATTTGGCTTCAGATCTGCAAGTCCAAAATTGGATCTATTTATATCATTCAACCTCCCTCAGGAAGAATTTTAGTTTTAAAAGAGAGAAAATTTTCTCGAGGTTCTAAATCGTAGAATGAATTTATTACGTGGAATGTTTACAGGAAATCTCCTGACCCTACAATTGATAATGGGAGTCTGAGGAAGAACTGTGTAGTAACTTACTACGTTCACTGAGGCCTGAGACATGGCACTGGAGGTATCTGGGAAAGACACACGGGTGAACCGGGCATGAGCCTTGCCCTCTGAGAGCTCCACCCAGGTGGGGAGAAGAGGTGAGTACACAGAAAACCAAAATACATGCAGGCTACATGGGGTGGGTGTCACCTCTGATGGGTAGATCAAGGCTCAGCGAGGGGGCCGAAGGGAGGGACCGGCCACGTCTTCCCTGGCTGGCATGGGGCCCTCGCTGCTGCTGCCACCCGTGGTTCAGAGTCCAGGCCTACAGCGGGAAGCCTCACCCTGCCCATGATCCCAATTGCAAAAGAAAACAGCCCTGCCAAGCCTAATCCCTGCCCGGCTCCCTGCTGAAATCCGCCTGTCAGGATGGAGGCTCTGAGAAAGGCTCTCTGCACTCTCTTGGATAACAATTAGCAGCTCTCACAGGCCAATCTGACAGACCGCCTAGAGGCAGAACTAGCGACCCCCACAAGGCAGAAGAGAAACTTTCCCTCCCCAGAATGCCTCCTGTTTCCATCTGTCCCTGCATTCTTTCAGGTCAATTTTGACACAAATATCTCAGGAAGGTCCATACATTAATCCATTATCAACCAGGGCAACTTTTGCAGAGGTAGTGTATTAGTTCCCGCCCTCAAGGTTTCCCTGAGAAAAGGTGCAAATCTCTGAGAAGAAGGGAAATGCCCAGGGCTTGGACCACTGCCCAGAGCAGCAGGCCCAGGCTCTGGGCCCCAGGTGTATACCGAGAGTGCCAGGTATGTAAGCAGAAGAGAGTCAGGACCACAGAGGTGAAGTCACCTACGGTGCCATGCTGCAATCCTGCCTCTGCCTGCCTACTCTACTATTTCAATGCACAAATTTGAAAAGGGAACATTTTACAAGTGTATTTATAAGCCTATTATTTTAAGAGTTTCAGAATGTCAGCACCTACAAGGGGCCTTTGAAACCATCATACGGATAAAAGAGTGAGGTGCAGGTAGGTGAAGTGAGTTTCCCAAGTCACTTGGCTTGTGAAGGTCAGGCCTAGCTCTCCCTGACTCCCCTACAGTCAGAGAGAAAGATCGCCCTTCCCCAGTGCAAGGTAATCAATTATTTACTTGTTTGCTGCAAACTTTAGACTGAATGTTCCTTGAGAAATTGGGCCATTCATTAAATTATTCAACAAACATCTATTGTACTTGGCAGGAGCCAACTGTGGAGGCAGGGAAGTAAACAAATAACTCACAGGGGCTACCAGTGGATAGTAGATAAGCATTTAGCATGATGTCTGGCCTGTAGCAAGTGCTCAATAAATGGGGACTTCCACAAAAGTATTCTTCTAGTGAGATGGAAATAAGGAGAGAGGCGTAGGCAAGGGTCAGATCATGACCAAACTCACGTGAAACACTGAAAGGTTGGGATTTGCCCTGGAGACAATGAGGAGCTGATGCAGGGCTTAGAGCAGAGGAATGACATAACCAGATTTTAGGAAGGTCACTCTGGGAAAACTTTGGAGGATGAAGGTTAAGAAGAGGAGATCAGTTAACGCAGCTCTCAAGAGAGTCCCAGCGAAGAGCGATGAAAAGCTGAACTGCAACAGTGAAGCTAGACATGGAAAAAGGTAGTTTAAGAACTGCAATTTCAAGAAGTCAGGAGAGGTCAAGATAGGGGAGAGACAAGGCAGACCCTTGCCCAGGCCCTGGGGACAGCTATGGAGGCCTTTACCAAGATAGGGTCCTTGGCTACAACTTTCCTGGGAGAAGAAAATGAGGTCAATTTAGAGGAAGTTATTTTGGGATGCCTAAGGGACATTCGAGGGGCAGATATCCTGGAGGCATTCACATCTCCAGATCTATAGTTCAGGAGAAAAATCTGAGCTTGAGGAACTAATACGGAGAACTCAGCCTTCAGCTGACAGCCAACGGAATGAGGGCTGAATAAAATGTAGCCACTCAACAACATTTATGAACACCCTCCTATCTGCAAGGCACTGTGAAAAGTGATAAGGCTAAAGCAGAAAACAAGAAAGAGAAGGCCCTTGCCCTCAAATAAGTTATGTTCTGGTGAGAAGAGCCAGAATATACAAATATACATGCACATATAAATAAAAGAAAAATATTAGCTAGTAAAAGCACCAAGCGCAGAATTAAATTAGGGTGTGGTTTGATAGGGACTGGCTATGTAGTTCCTTTGCCTTTGCTCAGGAAAGAGCGTGAGGAGCAAAGAAGAAGGCTGAAGAACACGAGCTTGGAACCCACAGTTGTGGGCCAAGCACAGAGGCACCGTGCCCAATCCCAAGCATGTGGTATGGATTGGGACGTCCTGACTCCTGGTCTACACTCTCATCTGGAGACAGCGCCACCATCTCCAAACTAGAATCCCCAAGAATAATTCTAGCAGTTCATTATTCCATTCAGGAACTATGATCTGTACTGAGGCAAGTGCTAGGTGCTGGGGATAGGGCTGTGAACAGGGCCATCGAGGTCCCTGCCCCTCAGGAAGTTCACATTCTAATAGGAGAAGACACACACAAGCACACACACACCAAGTCCAGATATCTAAATAAAGTATTGCAAGTTGTGCTAAGTGCTGTGAAAAATATAAATAAGGGCTAAGAGTAACAGTGAGTGATCTACTTTAGGCAAGATAGTTAGACAGAAAGCCCCTCTGAGAAAATGACATTTAAGGTAAGTCCCAGAGTTTGCCATGAAAAGGATGGTGGTGTGGACATTCTAAGAGAGAACTGCATGTGCATAGGCTTGGAGGTGGGAAAGAGCTTGATGTGTTTGAGAAACTGAGTGACAGCCAGGGAGGACAGAAGACAGGGTTGGAGAAAAAGAAGTAATGACACTGGAAATACAGAGTCACATCACTCATGGCCCTGCTGGCTGCATAAAATGTTTGGATCTTATTGTAAGGACAATGGCAAGCCACCGATGGGTTTTTCAAGCCAAGCATGACCTTATCTGATTTTCATCTTAAGGGCTTTCTGGCCAGGAGAGGGCCTAAAGATTGGAAACCACCAGTTCATTCGGAGCAAGCAGCGCCTTGAGGCCATCCTCCAATCACACAGTGTGGCTGGCGGTCCTTTATTCCACCCACAATGCGGGTCAGGCCTCCATCAGCAGAGCAACTTTTCCTCCTTGGATCTCCTGCCTGGCCTAAGTGCTTCCCAAAAAGCCCCATAAACTCACTAAAGTGTTTCCAATAGACTTTGCTAGAGTATTGGGACAATGGAGGCTTTCGTAAAAGGACACAAAATAATAATAATAATAAAAAAACACTCCCTCATTTCTGATGGAAATTTGTTTTCTCCTCCACTGCTCTCCAGTAGTCCACAGCCTGAGCGATTGTCTTTGCTCTTTACTCTGTTTATTTTCCAAAAGGCCACGAACATGCGTATTACTATGAACAATAACAAAGGACTATAAATTCTTATTGATCCCAGAAGGTTGGGAATTCCAAACAATGAAAATATGTCCTCTGACTGCTTCTCTCACAACATTTTGGAGACACAAAAGAGTTTTGTTAAAACAATAAGTGAGATTTGGGGACACTTTAGGCCTAATGGTGGGCTCAGGTCACCAGGTGTTGACGCAATAAGCGACTTCAGACACAAAGTTGGAAAGACCTCCCTGCCACCCTCTCCTGGGCTTACTTCCTCATTTCTCAGCCCACATCTTGACTGTGTCAAGCTGAGTTTCCCATATAGCTTTCAACCACTACTGTTTTCAGGAGCCAGAATTCTCAGCCTAAAGAGAAAGTCCCCTTTGTCCTCCATCCATGATTTAATTTACATTCTCCTGAACACTCCTCATTCACTTTGTTTTCAGGCTAAGAAGTCTCACAATTGTACTAGACCCTGAATTTGATTTTGCTGTTTGGAAATGTGCCTAGCTCAACCACTGGACAGTCCCAGAATTCAGCTTTACCTTAGAGAAAATCTTCATTGTTCATGATTTCTTATAATATTTCTAACTACTGTCATATATTTTTCCCTCGATTTCTATGTTTTTTTGTCTTTCAAATTACACAGATGTGTGTGAGTCTACATACACACAGATGCATGCATATCATCTCTTCTCTGATAATCAGTACAGTTTCCACTCTCTTCTCCACCTGGATGGCATTCCTAGGGAAATGCCCTTCCTCTGTTCCCCAGATTTTGGAGGGGTGCTCTTAGCTGCATTTTTTCTGCCTTTCTCACTCAGATGCACCTTTCCCAGCATTCCCCGATCCTTCGACACCATGATTCACAAGACAATGTGACCAACTGACTTTTTATGCTTTTGTCTCTGTTCTCGCCTATAAACTTCTTTTATATACAAATGCATAAAATTGACTAGAAATGGGCAAAACATGACCACAAAGTAATACAAATGCAAAGAAATGCCAATTCCTAATAAAAAGTATATAGTAAATTAAGAAGCACTAAGGAAGAAATTGTTCTTTTTGCTCTTTGGAGGATCTTGAAGGGAAAACAGATTATTGCTGGCAGAATCTGACTTACCTGAATGTATTATAATCCACCATCTTTCTTTGCTCATCGTCAGCAGCTATAAATACATTCCTGAGCTCTTCGGATTTTGATTCTTGTTTTTTCAGCTTTTGTAAGGCAAGTTCAATGCTGCTCATAGGAAACTGGAAGAGGGAAAAGAAAGGAAAGATATTTAAATATGCCTGAGACATAGGGAGCCCAATCTTTCTGATGGCCAGCAAAGAGACTTCACACTGTGAGCCTGAAGTTAGCTGGGCATGTCTTTTCATAGAGATCAACACAGAGTAGACAGGAATAGATCTGTATCTCTTCATTTAAGGCTTTAGGACAATGAGTGACATTAGCATAGCCCCAGATCTGAGAGAAATGAGCTTAAGGGACAGCAGAAAACAACCCCTGCTTCCACCTCAGCCTCCTCCCTTCACCCTTGGACATTGGCCCAATATGTTGGGAGACCCTAATGAAGAGAATGGGGATTCAAAACCGGATAAGTACACCCCCATTTTCTCCAGATCTTTAGAGTGGGGCCCTGGAACTGCTGGCCACCAGGCAATGCACTGAGCAGATAAGGTTGGGTGTCACAGGTCTGCACCACTGCAATCCCCTTACATTCACTCTCAGGCAGCCCCCAGTTCCTGTCTCCCACACTGTGATCCGGTTTTTGACTCTGTAAGAATACTCCTTATTCGATCCAGTAAAGCATAAGGTTGTAAACAATTACAGCCAAGAGCTAAAAAATAAGAAGACTAAATATGAAAATAAAAACATTGACGGTAATTTAGTATAAAGTTCCCTCTCTTCCACCAGGGGATTTGGCACCTATTGTGAAGCCCCTCCACCCCCACCCCTCCTTTTTGCATTTCCTTTAATCTATTTCCATGATAGGATCTATTAGCTCTTTTGAAAAGACTCCTCAGACTGATATTAAAGAGCGTATTAATCTTTCTCTGCTTAGACTGTCCTTGTTAAGGGTAGTTTTAAAATAATGCAGTTTTCACTTGGGATGCTGATACCAGATAATGTCCTACCCTGCTTTCATCTTTCTGAAAGGAGAAAAGCCCTGTATATCTTAAAAAATATATATTCATGGTGTATATATTTATATTAAGGGATAGGCTTACCCTGTGTTTGAAAATTAAACCCTAATTTACAATAGCTATTATAAATCGAATCCGGACTTGGCTCGCTATGGGCCACACAGAGCTAAGCACTTCACACACATTCTCACATCTAATCTTCATAGCAACTCTCTAAAATAGGCACTCTTGTTACTTGAGGAAAGAGAAGCTCAGGGAAGATACATGTCTAAGGCCCCTCAGCTATTAAGTGTAGAGTCAGATTTCCAAGCCAAGCCTGCTGTTTCCAGAAATCTAACTGCCCTATCAGTAAGCCTGTCACCTGAATTCAGTGTTTTACGACAATCTGAATTCCTAACACTGCAAATGGAGAGATGATGTCGCCTGGGCCTCTCCCCAAGAGAGACTTTGCAGAGCAGAGCGTTGTTAGCTGACAGCCCCCAGCTGCTGCACCTTCAGGATCACTGCAGCATTCCTACCAAGGCCACACTCTCCCTTGACTGTTCCTATCCAACGACTGAGCACAGAGAGGGTACCAGGGCTGGGCCATTCCTCCCTGATGTGGGACTTCTCTGCTGGGCAGTCTTTGCTCTAGGGGTCCCCATCAGCCTGGCCAAGACTTTCTCAAAGCTGCACTGCATCTAAGGCTCTTCCTACCCCATTCTCCTTCCTTCCTTCTCCTTTCTCAGAAGGCAAACCCACATCTCAGGCTCCCCACCTACTCCTTCTCCCTCCCCCTTCATCCTTCATATGAGTTTTCCCCCAATACATCTCTTGCATGTCTAATTCTGTCTCGGCATCTGACTCTCAGGGACTCAAACTGACATGAATGATGTGATATACACAGAGAGAATGATGTTAGCAACGTACCCCTGAGCATTTTATATATGAGATAAAATTGGTACTGTATATATATAATTGGTGCCTAAATATTACGACTTACAAGTGGACTTTTAAAATTGTTTCTAGATTTTTCAATATTGGATAATGATTCTCAAATATACACATGTTTGCACACCAAACTAGTCCACACTTAAAATCAAGATTTTATCGATATGTTATTTTCACTGAACAGCACTGCCAAAACAGTGCTTTTAGTAACAGTACCCATCTGCCATCTTATTTCAAATGAAAAAACTCTTTGAGCTCACTGTTGTCAATTTGTCCTGGCCTTCTTATTTAGGCCTCAGGTGGCTCCTGTTATGGGAAGTTACAGCCCCAGCAACTATCAGATTTCCTTGGGGTTTCTGTTTGTTCAGGTCTTGGCCTCCTCTGTAGGCCTGTGCCGATTAACTGGGACAGCACAGTGTGTGGCGCCAGATTTTCTTCCTTTCCTATAGTTGCTGAATTTCTTTCTGAAACATTGTCAGTATCAGCAGAAAACCCAGGAAACTTGATTCAACCCTGGGCCTGCCTCCTGCCTGTGCCTGGCATCCGTGATGCTGGGCAGTGGAGGACCCAGCATGTAAACAGAGTAGACCCGGACCTGGCCTCTGTGACAGGGCCTGTGGCCAAGTTGCGCAGATCCATTATTCATGCCCATGTGTGAATGCACAATGTAAAACTGGTGGCAAGATGAAGAAGAAAAGGCCTAGAGAAAGAAAAACACAGATTGCAGAGTGCTGAGGGGCAAGTCGAGAATTATACAAAATAAGTTTACCTTATCTGAATGCTTCTCCATGTAGTTTAAGGTGTACTCATCAGCATTGAGCAAAAGAAATAGGTAGCCATTCACGTTCACTCTGGCTCCAACATACAGCTCCTCAGCCTTGATATATTCCGACAGTTCACTTTTAAAGACTTCTTGTCCAGGCCTCTTAACACGAATTCTTTTCAAGAACATCCCACCAGTAAGCCCTATAGAAAAAGAGAAAAGTTGATGAGTAGGCTTTATTCTTAAAAGAACTAGACAGCTTGCCTTTGGAGTTACTATATGCTCAAACACAAACAACTTAGCTGTGAACTCATATTGCCTATTACTCTCAGGCTTAAGGAACGAATGAGGCAATAGGTGAAGAAATGAGACTTTCTAGGTGAGAGTGTAAAGAAACAAGTGGTATGGCATTCCAGCCTTTTCTTTCCTCTCTCTACTCCCTTCCCAATCCAAACACTTAAATTAACACTTAGCCAAGTACCTGCCATATGCTCAGCAGCATTCTAGGAACTGGGACATCAGGAAGATATTCATCTTTAGAGCATGTTTGAACAGTACCAGGTAGAAAATTCTTCACTTGAGCTTATTTCTACCTGTTTGTCCCAGATGATGTCTTACACTTAAGCTGACGTGTAAGATGCCCCACTTCTGGAAAGGAGCTTACTTAACTGTTTAAAGATAACTATGGGAGTCCCTTTACCTCTTTTTTTCTACAGGTAAAATATCTTTGCTTCTTTTTGCAATGCCTCATATTTCTTACTTTCCAGGATTACCACCATTTCATCTGCTCTCTTCTGAGCATTATTTGGTTTTTGACCTCTTAGAAAGCAGTGAGCAGGGTTGAAAATGGGACTCCAGTATCTTCTGATACTGAACTGAAGTCTGAAGACCTATGAATACAACTTGAAACCAGATGAACTTTCGGGCTCAGCTTCATCACACTCCTCCTACCATATTCAGAAACCATAGGTGGTGAAAAGACTAGGCTTTGGAGCCAAATAGAGCTGGAGTCCATCCTGGCTCTGTCACTTGCTTGCTGGATGATCTTTGGGAGTTATTTAATCTCTCTGAACCTCTCTGAAATATCGGTAAAATGGGAGTAAAATTTGTGGGGCTATGAAAATGTAACTCTCAGATCACCTACCGTGGGGAACAAAGCTGATGGAAGGCCCCAGCTGCTATGTTCTGAAATTTATCCCCAGGTTTGTGCCAAGGTCATGCCTCCCACAGGGTGCTGCCAACAAATGACTAACTAAAGCAGGGATACTAAGGCCGGCCCATTCCTGCAACACGGGGGGCTCCTCCGACTAGTGACTTTGGCTCTAGGACTCCCAGTCAGCCTTGCCAAAACATTCTTTAGAACTTCACTGCGGTTTAAGACCTCCCCCTTTCTTCCTTTCCTCTGTCCTTCGCAGGAATCAGACATGCACTGCAGTCTGACGGCTTTCCCAGACTCTTCTGGATCCTTCCACATTTTCTCTCACCAGCATTTCCCCTAAGAAGTTTCTTGCACATTTAATCTCTCAACTTCAGGTTTGCCTCTTGGAGGACCTCAACTAACACAAAATTTAACCGCATAAAGTTTTTATAAGGATAACAGTAGGTACTCAATCATGGCTGCTATTACTACTAGTAAGCTCATAGTTGACTACCATCAACATTTCTGTTTTATGCATGCTGCAATTTGGCCACATCTTCTCCATTCTAGACAGACAGACTTGGCTTTTTGACCTTTAAGAGCACGACTGCATATTCATCCCTATTCGATTTCATATTTAAGATTTGGTCCATTATTCAAATCGCTGTGGAACTTGACTTAGCTATACATTCATTCATTATTCATTGGGGTGCTGAGTGGTTCATACAAGCTCAGAAGAGCTGATAAACTTTCACGGCTTTTGCAAGCCAGTTGTTAAACTGTTGGTTGCTTGAAATTGGCCATGGTTGGGGTATTTACACCATGGAAACTGGCAAACGGTACAAATCAGGGTTTTAAAATTTTTTCAGGGAGGCAGAATTTGTTAATCTGGGATTCCTGTCTTATAGTTAAGTAAAACTTTTCTAAGTGGTACTATCAAGAATCCAGATTTCCTCTTGTCTTGCTGGCTGAGTGGAATTGGTGGTAGCCAAACCATGATCTTGAAGCCCTTGAATCCTACAGAGGTACCTCAGAGGCCACAGAGGAAGGGGGGACAGTGGCCAAAAGGAGGTGTCCCTAGTCCCCCAGTCCTGAACCAACCAAAACTGTTCCTCTTTTATTATTTTTTATGTCTGGGTTTCCATTTAAAAGACCTTTGTAAAATGAACTTTAGTGGTTAAAAAAAAAAATGAAAGCCACTATCTTAGAAGATCTAGGCTACAAAATCAGATCATACTCCCTAACTCTCAAAATGAAGAGACAGTTAATTGGTCTGAGGAAATTGCTACAAGAGGTATGTCTCTTACCTGAATTCCTCTCTATAGGTTCAAACACTGAAAGTGTGTCATCACTGAGAAAATATGAAATAACAAACAGCCTGTCCACGTCGGCACAATCATGTGTAATTAGTTTCGCAAAAAAACGGAGAGTATTGCTTATGTAGCCATAGCTAAATGGAAGAGAAATGAGGGTTACAGCATTATACAAGTAATCTTCCATACATTGTGTATGTAAAAAAAACCTACAAAAGACGTGCTATGGTTTTGGGGGGTTTTTTGAGTTATAATTGACATATAACATTATATTAGCTTCAGGTATACAACATAAGGCTTCAATATTTGTATATTGCAAAATAATCATCACAATAAATCTAGTTAACATCTGTCACCATACACAGTCACAAAAATTTTTTTTCTTGGGGCCGGCCCAGTGGCACAGCGGTTAAGTTCACACGTTCTGCTTCTCGGCAGCCTGGGGTTCGCATGTTCGGATCCCAGGTGTGGACATGGCACTGCTTGGCAAGCCATGCTGTGGTAGGCATCCCACATGTAAAGAGGAGGAAGATGGGCATGGATGTTAGCTCAGGGCCAGTCTTCCTCAGCAAAAAGAGGAGGATTGGCAGCAGTTAGCTCAGGGCTAATCTTACTCAAAAAAAAAGAAAAAAAATTTTTTTCTTGTGATGAGAACTTTTAAGATCTATTCTGTTAGCAACTTCCAGATATGTAATACGGTATTATTAACTACAGTTACCATGCTATACATTACATCCTTATGACCTTATTTATTTTATAACTAGAAATTTGTACCTTTTTTACCCCCTTCACCCACTTCACCACCCCTCGCCAACTATGCTATGGGTTTAAGATAGTAGCATAAACTCTGAAGTTGAAAAAGTACAACCACTTCTTATTAAGGTTCTAAATCTATACGCAGAGAAATTTTCTCAGTTTGTTAAAATATCTCTCACTCTTTAGATGTCCAGGATAGCACATTGGGAAAACGTACCCAAAACAAATGTCATAAACACACTGCTCAAACCAGCTGCATTAAATGGTTGTTCTCTACTCACAAGGCTGGCCAACAATCACAACAATCAAGGCTGCAAGAAGCACAGGACCCAGCCCTCCTCGCCGAGCACTCCAGGGGGTGTGCCCTGCTGGTGCCTGGGGCCGCCTCCCCATTTCACCTCCCACTTGCTCATGCCCATTTCTTTCTTTCAGCCCCACATCCTCTCCCTCCTAAGTCACTCCCCCAGTTCCCCAGGATCCCTCCAACTCTCTTTAAGGTAAAAATTACCTTTTCCATTTCAAACGCTATATTAAATGCTATCTTAAATATTATTACTTATCACCCATATCATAAGTAGCCATTACAAGTCTGTTTTCCAAGGACAAGGACTGTGTCTTATTAACCATTGTCTAGTAGAACACTTTTTATAAGTACTTAATAAATGTTTCTAGAAAGTTGTTGTAAGATCCATATAGATTGGAACTTGCACTTAGAATTCTATGCATGAATAGAACAGTCGAGTAGACCGAAGACGGGATCAAATTCTAGAATCGAAAGTTCCCAAAGGTGATTGCCTGGTCACTGAAGAAATTAAGTTATGGTCTGTTGGCAGAAGCATTTCTGCAGATACCAGCTAGTGAAAAGTGAACTTTATACCAAATACTAAACCCTTGGGGAGGTCTTTGATAATCAAAATCATTATCCCAAGGAGGCACAGAGGAAAATAAACCACGTACTTTGTCATTTTCCTGTCACAACTCTAAGCAGGGAGGTCCTCACCTGCAGATTCTCCTATGCTGAAATTCATTCTTTCCTTGTGGTCACAGTGATTTAAAAGAAACAAAAACAAAAATACATATTCCTGATTTGCAGAGGCAGAAAGTACTTTTCTCTGCCCCTTTCTTCAAGTGTCCAAAGAAGCAGGGCTAAAATAAAACATGGCGCCAAGATTCCCAGCTTGAGACCTGTGTGAGATGGAAGTAGCAATTTGGAAGGCTAGCCCCAGGGCAGCCTGGACAAAACAGCCAGATCTCCAAAGCCCTGTTTGCTTTGTTCCTAGTTTCCCAGTCTTCAGACAGACCTCATACAGCAGGACAGGCAGCTATACGTTGTCAACCATCTTTTCTGGTACATGATTGCATTTGTAAGTAACAAACAAATTTCGTAACCCCTTTGCATGAAAGACCCATAACTTTTACAGATGCCTGAAATATCACTGAAACCACTGAATGAAGTCTAAAGTCAGGCCAAATGAATGCTACTGTAAATTTAGCTTCTTAGAACTTACATAAATTTATAAGTGTGTATGTTAAGTGTGGCTTTTTCACATTTAATATGCCATTTTTCCACCTAATTCTAGTGTTCTGGAGATCTCATCAATCCAGAATATAATCTACTCAAACAAAATCTTTAGATCAGCGGTTCACAAACTTTATTGTGTATAAAAGTCATCTGGGGAGCTTGTTAAATACGCAGAATCCGGAGTCCTACTCCCAGAGATATGGATTCAGTAGTTAGCTTGCATCCCCAGAAACCTGCATTTTTAATAAGCTCCCCAGGAGATTCTGATGAAGTGGTCCCCAGAGCACACTTTAAAAAACACTGCAAGGATCTTCAGATATTTCCTTGACTAATAAGCTAATTATCAAACTTCTCTAAACACTTTTTATCACAATACTCCCAGCACTCAAAAAACTTTAGCATTTTCCCTGCTTCTTATTGTACCACCTATACTGCTCAATCTGGCTTTCTGGGCCATTAATAGGTTCAACACACACACATACAACTATTTGTAACGACCACCTATAATACACTCTTCTATTCAAGTCACAACAAGCCACTTCCTTTACTGCCCCACCCTGTGCTCATTTCTGCTTCCAGGTCTTCACTTGGTGTCATCCCCTCCCCTAGGGCACACCCTTATCCTTTCCTGTGCCTGTCCAGAGTCCTGTCCATCCATTTGGGCCCCAATCAGTAGAGCTCTCCTTGACCATGGCTGCCCTCCCAGCTGACCACCTACTCGTGCTTCCTGCACCTACCATAATCTACGGCATGCAATTTAGCACCATATAGACTTATATTCTTGGCTATTTCTTTAAATGTGTTTATTCCCATTGTTCCAAAACAAATGCTAAGTTCCTAGGTCCAGCAGCCAAGTCTTAACTTTTTCTACACACAGCCCAGAGTTATCTATAATCACTGTCTTGAATTCTCCCATTCTCTCTTAAATCCACTTCCATTAGGTTTGCTCTATCTAAACTGCTCTTGTCAAGGTCAACAATGATCTCCACAATGCCAATTCCAATTGTTCATTTTTGTGTCTCACTTGACCAATCGGCAGCAACTGGTACAAATGATCACTCCTTCTTCCATGACACTCTTGCTTCACTTGGCTTCCAGGATGCTGCATTCTCTTGGTTTTGCTCCTATCTCCTTGTTTGCTCCTTTTCAGTCTCCTTTGCTGGTTCCTCCTCTTTTCCTCAACCTCTTAATTTGGGATGTCCCAGGGATTACAAGGAACAACTTGGTCATCCACTTCTCTGTGTATATTCACTCCCTTGGTGATCTCATCTAGTCTCAAAAGCTTTAAATACCATCTACATGCTGATGACTTCCATATTTCTATCTCTAGCTCACACCTCTCTCCCAAATCCCACACTCGTATATCCAACTGCCTACTCAATATCTCCACTCGATATCTAATAGACATCTCAAACTTAACTTGTTTCAAAACTTAACTTCTGTTGTTGTCCCAAATCTACCCTACCTAGAGTCTTTCCCATCTCAGTAGATGGCAACTCCATCTTTCTAGTTGCTCAGGCCGAAATCTTGGGAGTTATTCTTAACTCTTGTCTTCTTACACACCTCATATCCAATCTGTCAGGAAAGTCTATTGGCTCGACCTTCAAAATATTTCCAGAATTCACTATTTCTCATCACTTCCATGGCACTCACACAGATCTGAGCCATCATATCTCTTCTCTTGGACTACTGCAGTAGCCTCTTAACTGGTCTTTACTTCCAGTGTTGCCCTTCTACAGTCATTTGGAGTGATTCTTTTAATATGTAAGTCAGATCAAGTCATTCCTCTGCTCGAATCTCCCAATGGCTCCCCTTATCACTCAAAGTCAAAAGAATCCTTATAATGGTCTGCAAGGCCCCATGCCATCTGATCCCCCCATTACCTCTCTTAATCTGTCTACTCTACCCTTTACTCATCTCTTCTATCCATGTCAGCCTTCTGGCTGTTCCTTGCATATCCCAAGTCAGCTCCCTGCTCAGGGCCTTTACACCAACTGTTCTTTGTGCCTAGAACATAGTTCCTCTCCACAGTAAGGTCTATCCAGATCACACTATTTAAAGTTGAAACTGGGGGTGCGCCTCAGCCCCACACTCCCAGTTCCCCTTTATTCTTTTCATAGCAACTTACTACCTTCTTTATTTTCGCCATAGTATTTAACACCTTCTATATACTACAGAATGTACTTATGTCTTATCTTTATGGTTTATTGTCTGCCTCCCCAGGTAGAATGTAAGTTCTATGAGGATAGGTGTCTGTTTTGTTCACTGATGTATCCCAAGCACCTAGATCAGTGCTTGGCCCATAGCAGGTCCTCAGTAAATATTTGTTGACTAAGAAAATGAAAGGCTCACACAGGGCTACAGGCTTACTGAAAGCCTTAAAAATAACTGGAGCTATAGAGTCTTATAATTAGAAGACACAAGAAGGCTTATTTTTATTGATGGGGAAAAAAATTGAAAGAGGGAAAAATGACTGATGGAGACAGCAGATGGACAATATCTGAAACAGAGTTTAAGATTAAACCACGAATTTTTGGATGCTATATGGTTATGAAAAGCACAAGTCGGGGATAATAGCCTTCCAGGTGGAAAGTCATCTGTCTCTTCTATCCATCATTAAGAACTGGAAGGGTGAATGTTTATTCTATTTACTCACTTACTCATCCTTTCCTTCTCTTATTGGACAAAATATTTACTGAGCCCCAAGTATGTAGCCAGCACTGTTCTAACTCTGAGGGAAGCACAAAAGCCAGTCTCTGCCCTCAAGGATCATTTGGTCTAGGGGGAGATCACAATTACATCAACAAGTAATTGCCACTCACTGTGATAAGTACAGGTTCTGTGGCAAGAAAGGTGAACTCCAGAAGTCTGGCTTTCCTGGGTTCAAATCCCAGTTCAACTAAAAATTAGCTGTGTGAGCTTTGGCAAATTGTTTAGCCTCTCTGAGCCTCAATTTCCTCATGTAAAGAATGGGTACAATAATATCTATTTTATGAGGTAGTTTTGAGGATTAAATGAGATCAAGTACTGTAAAGTAGTTAGCATACTGTAACCACAAATTGCTTTTTATTATTAGTAGTAGCAGTATTAGAGGTTTGATCAGCAGAGTTTTGTGGGCACACAGAGAACAAAGTAACTAATTCAGCCTGGTGCAGTGAGAAAGATATTATTCTGCTTCTCCCAAGTCAGACTAGACAATCTGTCCAGGAGGCCACCACAGTCAATTTTTACCCAGACAATAAAGGTCTTCATTCTGTCAAAAACCTCATGTGCTTTAATTTGAAACTATTTCCTCCAATGACTCATAGTAGATCAGCATTAACCTCATACAATAATTAGCACCCAGTACATTTTTAATAGCAATATATATAATCAATATATGTCACGTACAATTGCACGTCTCAATTCACAGTTTATTTGCATTAAGGAGACTGTTCTTTGTTTGCTTTGTGAAGATCATCCTCCTTAGGTTCTCACAGTTTTAAAACCTTGGGTTATTCAAACTCATGTATAAGTCTCCAGCTGAATGTGCCAGTTTCTATGGAAACAAGGTCACTGTGTGGGAGGAGCTTGAGGAAAGTGTATTCCTGGCACACAATGAGCAGTGGACAGAAAGAAATGAAACTAGAGACATTCATGCCTGTACCACCATCCTCCAGCCATGACAGCATGACAAGGATGTAGAACGCTGTCTACAGTCAGTGCTCTGTGGGCAAGTTGACATGGTGTAGACAGAAAGAGAGACTAAGGAACTACCCACGAGGAACTGGTTTCCCTTGGGTTCCAGAAGCAACACCCTGGATCATGTTTCATCTTGTTTACTTATAAGAAAAATTCCCTCTCCTTTTACAATAGGGACATTTTTCCTGCCTTCCTCCTTTGGGTGCCTGCCCTTAAAAACAGCAGTTAGTGAAAAGTATCCATCCAAAGTCCTGCCCTGGAACCTCACTGTAAACACTGCTATGTATAAGGGAGGATGGAGTACAAGTTGGTGTCTCTCTTAAGTATCGAAATGAGTGGTTCTCAAACTCTGGTGGGCATCAGAACCCCCTGGAAGGCTGGTTAAGACACAGTAGCGGCCCCAGCCCCAGAGCTTCTGCCTCAGTGGGTCTGGGATGCAGCACAAGAATTAGCATTTCTAACAAATCTGGGTGCCACATTTTGAGTAGCATCGATCTAAAACTTAAAAATAAAACACTAAAGTCCTTAAAAATAAAGGATTATTTCTTGAAAGACAAAGGACAGCATGTCGTGGCAAAGGCAGTCTTTTAGACATTCTACACAACTCTTAATAACATATTTTTACAGTTACAGCGAAACTGTGGCTCTCTCTACTTCAAAATGTTCTACAACAGCATCTGACCTTATTAAATTTTATCAAATTCGGTATGCTGCCTTTTTCTTCTCCTTCCCCTGATCTTGCTACATTACTACATGTTCCCTTTATCATTCTTCTCCACAGGTTCTCCTGACCCATTATTTCCCTCACACAGGACTTCAATGTTTAGCCCGCATCCTATGCAAGCATCTGCAACATTTTCCCATCACTTTTCCCCCAACTTCCCTCTCCAGGCCCTGCACTCTCTGCAGAAGCAAAAAGTAGCCATGGGCGGTGCCCACAGTCTAGACACATGACTCAGGGGCAGATGCTTCCTCGTGTATCTTAGGACTACTTTTGAAAGTCCATCTTTTGCAATTATATTCAGCCGTGTGAGCAATCTATGGTTACTGAACTCAACCAAACCTCTCAAATTAAAACCACATTAATTGCCAAATAACATTTTGAAAAACACTTAAAACTCTGAAGCCTCTAAACCAGGAGTAGGCAAACTACAGCCTGTGGGCCAAATATGGCTGGCCAATTGTTTTTGTATGGCCTTGAGGTAAGAATGGTTTTTACATTTTTAAATGGTTGAAAAAATCAAAAGAATAATATTTTGTGATATGTAAAAATTATACGAAATTCAAATGTCACTGTCCATAAACAATGTTTTACTGAAACACAGTCACACATTTGTTTATGGACTCTGGCTGCTTTCACACTATAATGGCAGAGCTGAGTGGTTGTGACAGAGGCTGTATGGCCTGCAAAGCCGAAAATACTTACTACCTGACCCTTTAGGAAAAAATTTGGTGACCCCCTACTCTACACCATTTCCTAGGGACCATCTTGAGGAGATATATATACATGCATATATGGAAAGGTGTGTGTGTGCGTATATATACATATATATAGTAAGAGAGAGAGACAGAGAAAGGCAACATAGATTTGGGATAATATGACTTTAGGGGCTTCCAGATGACACATTAAAATAACCACTCAATGGTGAGGATATGGACAAAAGGAAACCCTTGTGCACTGTTGGCAGGATTGTAAATTGGTGCAGCCACCACAGACAACAGTATGGAGGTTCCTCAAAAAATTAAAAACGGGGGCCGGCCCCGTGGCTTAGTGGGTAAGTTCGGGCACTCCACTTCAGCGGCCCAGGGTTTCACCAGTTCAGATCCTGGCGCAGACATGGCACCGCTCATCAGGCCATGTTGAGGCAGCATCTCACATGCCACAACTAGAAGGACCCACAACTAAAAAATATACAGCTATGTACTGGGGGGATTTGGGGAGAAAAAGCAGGAAAAAAAGAAGATTGGCAACAGTTGTTAGCTCAAGTGCCAATCTTTAAAAAAAAGAAAAGAATTATAAACAGAACTACCATATGATCCAGCAATTTCATGTCTGAGCATTTACCCAAAGGAAAAGAAATCAGTGTCCCAAAGAGATACCTACACCCCTCTGTTCACTGCAGTACTATTTATAATGGCCAGGACATGGAAACAGCCTAAGTGTCCATTGACAGATGAATGGATAAAGAAAATGTGATTTTATACATATATAATGGAATATTACTCAGCCATAAAAAAGAAGGAAATCCTGCCATTTGCTACACCATGGATGAACCTCAAGGGCATTATGTTAAGTGAAATAAGTTATAGAAAGACAAATACTGTATGATCTCACTTACATGTGGAATCTAAAAACCCAAACTCATAGAAACAGAGATCAGATTTGTGGTTGCCAGAGGCAGGAGGTGGAGAGGGGGGGAATTAGATGAAGGTGGTCAAAAGGTATAAACTTCCAGTTATAAGATAAATAAGTTCTGGGGATGTATGCACAACATGATCACTATAGTTATATATGTCAATTATATCTCAATAAAACTGGGAAAAATAAATTAACCAGTCTAGAGGGAGGGGGGAGGATGAAAAGGGTAAAGGGACACGCATGTATGGTGAGGAATAAAAACTAGACTACCGGTGTGGACACGATGCAGTCTACACAGAACTGAAATATAATAATGTACACCTGAAATGTACACAAAGTTATAAGCCAATATGACCTCAATAAAATAATTTCTTTAAAAATCTGAAAAACAAATAAAATAACCACTCAAGAACCCGTTAATACTTGCATGTTAATCAACTACATTAAAAAGCTATAACAACATGTCCCTGGACTTGAAATTAGATGAGTTGAGTGTCATCTGTTTCATCATGAGGACTATATTTATAAACCCCGAACACATTTGGGAAAGATCAGACGAAAATAATGGTTCCCTCAAGCACCTGTCTTTTTCCATCCACTTCCTGAAGTTCTTCCGGTGAGGTGTGGGCATAAGGCCTATGCAGGAGCGCAGAGAGTCCTCTTCAGAACCAAAGCCAGTATAAGGTGGAAATTTCCTTTCTATTTTTGGAGGAGGTGGGGGCTTGCAGTCAATTGAAGTGAAGTTCTCTATAACAAAACAAAGGCAAACGAAACATCAATATTTTTTTTGCCCTGATTATGGCTGTTTTGAAAGGTTTGTTATGTTTTCAAAATGAACATGGAGATCTTTGTAGACTATTTTAAACTATTTCAAACAAAACACGGCAAAACCCTGTGAGGGTAGGTTTCAGTCATGTTTACAAAAACCACAGAACTCACTCAATAATCGCCATTGGTTCAAAAGAAAGAAAAAAACTGTCTATGTCAAATAAGTAAACATTTATCTTTTGTCATCACATCCCCATTTCTGAATATTTTTTGTTCTTCCCTGGTTTTTCCAATGGTAAGAAAATTCAAACTTGGGACTCTCTGCCACGCATTCCATTTCACCTGTGATTTAGCCTTCTGTCTTCAGTTAACATTTCCGAACAGAACTGCCTCCTGACTATTTTCCCTTTACCTTCCCCACCCACTGTCCCCTCCCCCAATGCCCACTTTTTAAGCTCTCTCCCTTTCCTCCAACTCCAGGCCATGGCACTTCACTATCTAGTTAAAAAACAAAAACAAAACTTCTCACCAACCACTGCTCCAGGTTGTTCTCGTTACTGCCCAGGAAAAGACAGCAATTGTACTAAAATGTGATGAAGCAAAAAAACAAAAATAAAAATGAACAAAACTTTTAAAAAGTCACTGCCTACTGTCTCAGAGGGGGTGTTAAGTGGTAAATACTGTCGATTTTCTTTATTTAGTTATCATCTGTGAGGAAGGAGAGATGGAGAGAGAGCTGGGGACGTATCTGCAACAGCCTAGATGCTTTAGGCACTCCTTTGTGAGGCTGTACAATCTCTGAGAAGCAAGTGTGCTCTCCAGAGCAAATAACACATTGGCCCAATAGATCCAAGTCACTTGTGTTTGTCCTACTAGAAAGAGCGAACAAGATGCCAGGATCTTTCCTGAAACAAAACAAAACAAAACAAAACAACCCATTGAATCTTAATTTCTACTTCCCCAAGCTTGAGTATCCCATAGGTGTTTCCATTCATGACTGAAAGGAGTTCCACATAAGCAAAGATTTCCTTTTCCATTGTCAAAGTTTTAATAGCTGAAAGAGCACAGATTTAGTACACACTTCTATAATTGAAAATGTGTACCAATTTGTCATCCCAGGTAACCTAACTCTTGAAATTGAGGGATTTTTTTTTACTGGTTGATCAAAAGGCTACAGGTTTGAGGCTATTTCTAACTCCGATTTTAAAACATTTTCAGCTTTCACATTTCCTGAGATTTCCTAACAACCTTTGTGTAAAATTCCTCCAAGCATAACTCCCAAAAGAGTATTGTTCCATCCTAACAGAAACTGCTCACAGAAGACATATTAGCAAAGAGAATGCCATCAAATATTTCTCACTGGCTCAGTGAAAGGAGGCAACCAGACTGCCAGTACAGAAGTGATTCGTGAGCCTCTCGTATTGTTATTTTTGTGGCAATTAAAGAAAAGCCTTGGAAATAAAGAGCAAAGTTCAAATCTTAGAATTAGGCAGAATTGCAGTAGACTCTATCATTGCTAACCATTACATGAAACAGACCACTGATTGGTACCTTCATTTCAAGGAAAGGACCATTGGGATGGCAGAGAGAGCTGAATGTGATTATTAGAAAATTGGGGCATGATCAATTTCTTCTAACAAGGGACATATACATACAACTCCACATGCTAATCTGAGCAGTCTAACCAAAAGAGGACGCATATTGAATCGCAAAGTAATTAAGAATGCATTCCACACTTCCCCCTAAAATTACAGGTTTTATAACACAGCCTTGTTTTCTCAACTACATAATTTTTGCAACAGATTTAAGCAACAAAAGAACCAATTTAGAGCTTTCCTCCACACCCACAGTGCCATCTAGTGTATGAAAGCCGAGAACTGTTCCACTCCATCAACGCCTGGCTTTTGTAACACCACATACATCTTTTTGGATACTCTCATTCAAGATCTCATTTCTCTAGGTAACCGTACATCCACAAAGCTTTGGACTTGCACCTGAATAAGCTTCCTGTCTTTGGTTTTCTATCATCCCAGCATCCTGCATGTTTCAGGTGTTAAAAAATATTTGATGAATAAATGAAAAAGCATACATTTCTGTACAAAGCATCTTCCCAAATATCTTCTTAAACTGACCCTCTGCTGGATCCTGAGACACATCTGTCTTTCAAAGAGTCTGATTCCTCTAATACCATGTGACCTATAAAAATAGATATACTGAATGTCTAGCCACAATTATCTAGATTCCAACAAATTTACAGAGAGGTGATATATTTTTAAACGGAGTCTTAATGCTCCTTCACCGTGATTTACTATTCACCATCTCAGTTAGAAACAATGCTGGAAAAATCCTTCAGTTACCTCCAAGTTCATCTCGTATATTCTAGTAAACTAGATATGGACTCAGGTCTGGGAAGCCTGAAGCTTATACAATTTGGGGGAAGTTCTTCAAGACAAGGAATGCCAAATTATTAAGGCAAAATTAGACCCAGGGCCTTGGACCAAGACCCCTGCAAAGGAAGAACCTTAAAGTTTAAGTTTCATTAACTTTATTAGCTTCAAGGTAAATCCACCTATGCTTGTATCCAATACCCAGGTCAAATGATTTTGATGGGATGTTCATTTTTGGGTCAAATAATTAGTGAGTCAAATAATTTTCTAGCTCTAGCTAGAAAACCTTAGAAATCATCTAATCTTCAACCCTCTTCACTTCATAGGGGAAGAGAAAGAGACAAAATTGTTAGGGCCATTAAGGCCATGTGGTAAGACTAGAAGCAAATTCTACCCCTGTTGCTGCACCCTGGGATAGCTAATTTGCTCAAATGATCATTAAACTGTCATCTTGGATGTCCTGCTGCTTCTAGCACCAAGAGTTCAGAGATGGTCAGAAATGACTCTACAAATTTAAAGGTGCTTGAAGTTTTTTTCCTCATTCTTAATGTCAGTACAGCCTAATAAGTGTTCAAGAGCAATGGGAATGAAAGGTCTTATTACTAGTTTGGTTGTCCCAGCCACTAAGAATCGATGAGAAGCAAGTCCTCTTATAGACAAAGAAATAATAACCCAAGGCAGGAATTCTAGGTAAAAACAGTTTACATTCAAATCCCTGTCCCTTCAGTGAAAAGACCACCTGCTGGAGCCCCTGGAACCTTTTCGAACCTTCATGCTACAGGAAAGTCCAACAGGCCTCCATCTGCCAGTCCATGTTCAGCCACATGAAATAATGAGGGAGTGACATGCTACAGCCCAGCAGGCAAGCCGAGACCAGCGAGACTGGTCTAGTGGGGCAGTCACACGGGACTGTTTTGTGGAAGAAGTCTATGGAATCATCTTCGGCTTAGAATGCATGAAAGAATCTTATCTAAAATTAGGAGTCAGATTGGGTTTTACACGGGGGTGCAAATACCTCTTGGAATTCTGTCAAGCCCTCTGCTTCTATATAAATAGAAAGCTTATTCATGCACCTTTCTTGGGACTGTGGCCAACTCCTTCTCTTAGTCTGTCTGTGATTTTTTCTCCCCTAAAATATATTGGGGTATCATTAGGTAAGAGAAGGTGCTAAAGCACCAAGGCTGCATACTGCATTAGAAATTTCCCCTGGCTTCCTCCTAGGGACGTCCCTAGCTGTGTTGTTGGCACTTGTCAGCTCCTTCCTGTGGAGCTGCAGAGTGGAAACACGAGGTATGCTACTGACCACAAATACTGACAAGGAAGGAAACGTGACCACAGTTATTGACAGGACTTTGTCCTGATTTGGGCTTTAAGGATATCAAAATATAATGTAGAAAATTTGGTCAGTCATGATGTTTTAGAACCAGATGAATTATAAACAAAATTAAAATATCAGAAGTAACTGTATCTAAGTAACATTAAGTATATTAATTTAACCTAACCAAAGAGTCAGGAAAAGCAAATGTGAAGATTATCAGAGAATACTGATTCACTCCCCCCCACATCATGGCTATAATTTCTAGTCATTAGTTACATTAAGTACACTGTTGTTACTCAAGAGATGTTGTGTAATAATACTGTCTGTTAAATGGGATATTCTAACATATATTACGAGAAACATAAAAATCAGCATGACTATAAAATGCATCATAATTTTGCATTTGCATAATTTTCTGTTTAAATGCATAACAATCATGTTATATTAGCTTTAAAGGCACAAACTACTCTTTTTTTTGAGATAATATAGTAAGTCTATAGAGTAAACAAAAGAAGTGAGCAGAAAGAAATTAAGCACTGGGGCTCAACCAAAAGGGACCATGGGGCATTTGAAGCTGATACGTTGGCCGAGGATGGCTAGATTTGGAGTACACCAGTGAATTCACTCTGCCTCTGAAAGTACCCTGCAAACCCAGTGAGAATCTCTCCAGCACTACGTTCATGTTTCTAAATGAAACCTTTATACAACATCAAGCGAGACAGACAAACATCCACCACATGTTGAACTTCACGTTTAAGGGATCACATGATGCTCTGGAACCTTCACCACATCCCTTATATTAAGGTAATCTTTAAGTAGGACACAAGTAAATGCTTTCAGTGTCCCATATTTTATATACAGTTTTTTCAAATTTTCAAGTCTACACTGAAGACTTGTTGATTCTAAACAGGCATCTACATTTATTAAACACAAAATTCTCCTCCCAACGATCTAAGGACCACCAGTAGCTTCTCTACAGCAGCCACCACATGCACATTCCGGCTGCCTCTTATTCTCAGCCCCTAAAACAAATATGCCCAACTGTGTCCACTAAAGAGAACCCATTCGGGAAAATAAAATAAGAAGAGGCCAACAATTTGGCCCATAGGGCTCACACATTTTGACTCATCTGGCATGCAGATGCAGTAGAACAAATTCCCTTAATGAAGCAAAGAGTGAAATTGAAAGTCTTTTTTTTTATTCCAACCTTTTGTGTGCTCTGCGTGCCTTCTCTCACAATATAGAGATTCCCAGGAGGCCAGGAATACTGCACAATGGGAAGACTAAGACACAAAAGGTGGGCCTCATCTCATTCTAGAGACAAAGCACCTTACCTTTTAGGCAACTGTGGTTGCTATGGCTCCCATCTCATCCCCAGGGAAAGTGTGCTCAAATGAATACCCCATGGTTCAGAGAGGAGTATAGGAGTTAGCAGCCCCCACCCCAGCTCTAAACCCCAATCTGGGAGCTTGGCAACTCCCACCACCCCACTTAGCCTAGCACCAGCAGGTACCTGGAGCCTGGGGTAGAGAGCCCAGGAAAGGGGCAGAGCTGGCTGGCAGGTTTTACAAATGAGGGGCTTGTCAGGTTTCACATCAGATCCTTGCCTGCTTCTGTGCCTCTCATAACACCCTGTAACATGCTGTAGGTCTCTGCTCCCCTTCCAACCTAGAAATTCCTTACTTAACTCTGTAGCTCCTAAGTCTACCGCAATGACCCGCACCTAGTAGGTGCTTACTAAATCACTGGTTTTCATTCTGAACAGAACTAACCTGATCTGAATGGAATTGATATCTAAGAAGATAGAAGCTGGAAACCTGGCTGGGCCTCACCAGGAAAGGAACAGCAAACTAGCACAAGAGAATTCCCCAGAAAACTCAAATAAGTAGTATATTCGTTGTGGTAAGCAAGAATTCAGTGAAAAGAAAAGCATTTAGATTTCCATTTCAATTGCTCGGCCAAAACATTTACCCATATTGTAGTGAGGCGGAGGGCAAGAAGGGAAAATGGAAGCCTCTGGCATCAGGCAGACAAGTTCAAATCTTGGCTCACCCTTTACTCACTGCACAACCTTCGATAAATTAGCCCCATTTAAGCCCCAGTTTCTTCATCTCTAAAATGGGGATAATGAGCCTACCCTTCTAGAATTGTTAGGAATAAATAAGACAACAAATGCGTGGCAGGGAGCAAATGCTGATATAGCTATTATAAGCTTAGCATCTGAAACTCAAAAGTAAAATCTCAACTAGGGAACAAAGATTCTAAGTTCTAAATATTATTTTCTCATTAACATACATATCACTTACCAATTCCATATTCAGTCTTATAATAAGACTTTGTAAATTCATCACAGTCGCAAAGGAGCACTTTTCTTCCCCACACATTGATGGTGGTTCCTATGGACAGGTCACTATCTTTGTAAAACTCTTGGTGTACTTTTCCTAGCTAATAAAAACAAAGGAACACAACATTGGCACCACAGACCCTCCAAAGACCTAAGCACCCCTTCCCAAAGGAAAAAATAAATTTAAGAAAAATCACAATTATATCATTTATAGCCAAATTTTTTAAATCAAATCAAAAGATGACCAGTCAATATTAACATTTTAAAACATTCTTCTAGCAATGTAGTCTACCAAATAGCAATGCAACGCATATATTTATATATGCACTGAAGCATGTTTATTATTGATAAACAGCAGTGCAATGCATACATTTATATATTCATCGATTTCATTCACAATCAATCTCAAAAGAGAACAATATGTACTTACTCCACATTTCAGGTTCCAAGGAAGTCATATTGGGAGCAGTAACAAAACATAAGATTCCTCACCTTGTATTTATCCAACAGGTAGCCGTCCACTCGGTTCTCTACCAAGCCACCATATACATTGAGAACTATTCGATCTGTTATCTCGCCTGGTTGATAGACTCCAGGTGGGCCATACTGGAAGACAAAATCAAAACAAGATGTAGTGGATGGTCTCTAAACACAGAGATGGTCCTGTTGAGGGGCTCAAGTGGGAAATATGCATTGTACGGTTCTTCTCAGCCATCCAGAGAAAGACAAGACACATATTCCATCCGCCTCTCCCTACGCTTGCTCACTCCCTGCAGGCTGGTCTACACTCCACCCATCCTTCCAGGCCCTGATGAAGGTCACTCTTTCCCCCTGACCCCTCCCATCCTACTGGCCTGTCCCCAGTCCAAACCTCCACAGCACCTACTGCAGGGTTAAACCACTTTTTGTGGTTCTCTAATTGCTTCATCAGCAGTCATCTTTTCTCTTCACTCAACTACAAAACGCCCTGAGGAGGATACTATGCCTTGCCTTCTTTTCTTTACTTGGCTTAGCACCCTGCCATGAAAGGTCTGCGTTTGCACTTGCTGGCTGAGAGAGGCAGTGTGATGAGGTCGCAAGAGCAATAGAGTGCAGTCAGCCTCTAACAGAAACTGTGGCCTGGAGCAAGTGAGGGCACTCCTCAGTTCCACACGCACTGGAGGTGACCCAAGCAGTCGCGTGAGCTGCAGGAAATATCTTAAGCAACTTACATAAATTGATAGTCATCAGTTTATCACATACAGAGGAGAACTCTGAATCATCCCCGATACATGTGACATAAAATGTAAGTTCAGATGTGTGAATTTACGATGTGCGGGATATAAGTAAGCCAAGTAACAGAAAAACAGTACATTTGGATGCAAACTCTCTTTGCCACGTACTAGCTACAGGACTTGGGGACAGATATTTATGTTCTCCGAACCTCAGTTTCGCCATCTAACTGCAACAAGGGCACTTATTCCTTGCTTTCTTAAAGGATGTTGTGAGTATCAAGGGAATACCCACCACTCTTCTCTCTTTCCCCCAGGAGAATGTAAGCTCCATGAACAGGACGTAATCCATTTTCTCTCACACTGTAACCCTAGAGCTGGCACACAGCTGACACTCAATAAATAGTTGTTGAATGAATGAATAAATGAAGCAATTGATGTCAGGGCACACTGCAAATGTCAGGTGTGTCATTATTATTTTATATTTAGCCTATCTTTCAAGCCGTTCTAAAAGCAGGTTTCCCTGGTACCTCCTGGTCACTTGCTGCGCTTACCCCAGAGCTCCCTCTGGGACAACTCCTGCCCCCACCCTCAAGCAACACAGCAGAGTTTCTGGCAGCGGGCTCAGAGAATCTGGGAGGGCCTCCTGTGACAACCAAATTAACCAGCAGTTGTTCACATCAGAAATGAGTGTTACAGTAACCTCTTCAGCAGAACTAAGAATTAAGTTAAAAAATACTTTATCCAAATAAGAAATAAAACATAACACAACCATGAAAAAGCCTTTATGTTTTTATGAGTCCTTATAGGTGTTGATAGGTCCTTAGACAGTGTTTTTTACTATATTATTTCATTCAATCTTTAGTTACTTCAGGAGGGCGGCCTTGTTAACCACATTTTAGAGACGGGGAAATACACTCAGAGAGGTTAAGTGATTTGCCCAAGGTCACACAGCTATTAAGAGGCAGACCTACAATTCTAACCCGGGTCTTCCGTCTTTGTGCCGTTTCTGTTGTACCCAAGTTATGGCCATAAATGGCAATAAATATGTGTAGAAATTAGTCTGACAACTCTTTTTTAATAATAAATAAAACGCAAAATCTGTCATTGCCGCTAGCCACTGGCTGGCTGGTCACCGGTGGCTACTTTCAGAAAAATCGCTCTTGTATGTATGCTTGTATGTGTGTGTATGCACGTATGCACGTGTTCATGCATGCATGTGTGTGTGTGTGCGTGCGTGTGTGTGTGTGTGTGTGTGTATGCAGAACCTAGACCAATACCATGGGATCTCCTCACTAGGCTACAGAGGCCAGTGCCCCGTGCCCCATCCAAGGTCATGAGCAATTCTTTTACTAGAGAGTCATTTACCTTCATAAGACTCAATGATGAATAGCTACCTTCTCTTGCATTTGACTTTTTTCCTTTACTTGCCTTAAGCCAAGAACATTCCAACACCAGTTTGTCATATCCTCTGTATGACTTTCATAGATGTATATTAATATAGGGCACAAAATGAAAGTTTTTTTACCAACTTGTACTAATATATGGTAACTGTCATCACATAGTCATAGCAAGATGTTCCAGATCTTCCAGCCCACAAGCATACGTGGAAAGTGATTCTGCATCCACCGCTCACCTTTGGTAGCTTTCCCCTCTGGAGCAAAAACGGCATAGCATTCCAACCTGACTTGTGTGGCAACACTTCTCTGATTTCAATAGTATCATCAGACAGAAAGTAACGCAAGATGAGCTCTCTACGGTCCCCGAACAACGAGGTTGAGTCATCCCACAGGCAGAAAAAACGCAAAACCTTCCTATCATAGTTGAGGAACTGTTTCAGGGTGCCAAAGGACTCATAGGGACGTAAGGGCTTCACGAAGTCTAGCTTCTGAAAATGAAGAAAAGGTCAATAATAGTTGTGGTTTTTGCAAAATCACTTCTGAGATGCAAGCAATCAAAGAACATAAAGATATCTTTTCCATAGACTATTCTGTGATATTTTTTAAAATTTCAACTGACTAATGACACACACACATACACACATCTAACCAGTTTTAACCTTAAATATACAGACAATAAATATTAGGAAGCTTTTCCTATTAAACATTATTTTAATACACTAAAATGCACTTCTGTAATGTTTTTGAAAACTGACCTTTCTCAAAGACTTAAAATTCTTGTTTAAAAACAGACAAAACTAATGTATGGTGACAGAAATTAAAATAGTAATTGCCTCTGGGTAGGGGATTAACAGGAAAGGGGGACAAGGGAAATTTCCGCAGTGATGGAAATATTCCATATCTTGATTTTCATGTTGGCTACTAAATTATATACATTTTTCAAAACTTGTGGATCTATACACTTAAGATTTGTACATCTGAGTCTATGTTAATTATATCTCAACCAAAAAAAATTTTGTCTTTTCACTGAAAATCCGTATCTGCATATCCTTCTTACTCATCCAAAGATTTTTGTGAAGGTAGAAGAGAAAAAATATAGTCACGGTTTTATTTTGCTCAAAAGCTTTAGATATCAAGGATCTGAAAGGCCATAGAAACAGGAGCAGAGCAAACACAGACCTTTCCACTCAGCACAGAACCACTGCCTGGACTCTGTCCCCCGCCCCAGGAACCTCTAGCTCTGCAGTCTTCTTTGTGCAACTCTTCTCTATTTGCATGTTCTCAGCCCTGTCTTGGAACAAAACTGCCCCCATTCTATCTGATGTAGCCAAACAGGATTGTTATATAAAGAAGCGCTCATTGGCAAGGGAGATGTAGGCCCACATTGGGTTATGTAATCTTATTTGTAAATTCTCAAAATTTTGTATCTGTCCAGGGCAGTCTGGGTGCAGACTTAACCCAAGACACGGGGGAGACATCATGGCCTTCCAGAAGCTCTTCAGCTTTATCCTTGGGATTTAAATAAAATTATGGGACTTCTACTTTTACCGATTGAAAAATATTTCTTTGGCATTATAAAGCCTCTAAGAAATGCATTATTGATTATATACCATTGAGGCTCCTTTCAGCTTAAGGTAAATTGTTTAATTTTAATGCTACATTTCAAGGCAGCAAACACTGGAAAAGTAAATGCATTAAAAGGCAATATAAAAGCCTCTTATTAAACTCCTAATTTTCCACAGATTTCTATATTTATTGAAGAGCTTTCTCCCTGAGGGAATAAATGCTAAAATAATTCTCCCAATCTGAAAGGAAATTATTTAAAACATTTCTTGGCTATTCTTGGTATTTATTCTCAATTCCTGGCACAAGAAATTTTTTTCTTTATAAACCTATGGCATAGTGCTCTATATATTTCATATAATGCATCATCATTCACAATCACTATCATATAACACCAGCTGTTAGTGAATGAGTGCAGTCATATACAAAGGGGGGGTAATTTGTATGGATCCATTTCTTTTAGGCTCTCTCTGCTGTTCTAAAGACTTTGTATGTATCTAGACTCTTTCACCTAGGACATTTGGAAAAAAATCAAAATGAACCCAAATCATAAATCTCCTTGCACGCCAATACGCACAGGTACAGGAATTTCACCTTAGATATTCCAGAATCAACAATATATATTTCTCAGGAGGGTTGTATGCCTACAATATTAAAGAATAATTCTGTTGGGGCTAGGAGGCAGGAATAGATGAGTAATCTTACATGTAGCTTTTAACAAGATATCAAAGCCGAATCAAAGGAGAATTTTATTCTAAATTTTATGTTATCTTCCTGCAAGGAAATGAAGAACAAGTTTTAGAAACAATAAAAATGAGACTAATCTAATCTATATGGATAGAAATGAGAACAGTGGTTATCCCTGGGTGGGGAAAGGGATTGACTAGAAAAAGGCATGAGGGAGCTTTCCAGGGTTATGGAATTATTCTATATCTTGATTTGGGTGTGGATTATAGGGGTATACGCATGTGTTAAGGCTCATCCAACTGTTCACTTAATTTCTGTGTATTTTACTGTGTGAAATCACCCTTTAATAAAAACAGAAAAAGGAAACAAAGGACAATAATGAAAACCAAGGGAAGAAGCAAGAGATCTGAATTCAAGTCCCGTATGTGACCTTCCTCATGACACTTGCCCTTGTGAGTATTCACATTCTTCTGTAAAACATAAAATTTTGGCCAAAGGATAATTTAAAAAAAACTTTAAAAAGACAACAATAATGCTACTAACATTGATTCTTTGCTCCCTACACTAACTGAGGTCAGACTTTGAACACAAGCATCCTTTCATACTGGGGGGTACGTCGGAATCATAACCCTCCTCACTCCTCCAGAACATCTCTGCATCTGATGCCACCATAAGGGGAGTTGGAAGCCCAAGGAAGAAGAGAAAAGGTATCCCCAAGGCTTGGTTCTGTAAATCAGTAGTACAGCAGCCAAGATTTCCCCAGAGTTAGGCAACTAAAATGGGAAAAGACAAGCCAAGGTGAGTGTGAGCCCCACTATTACACTGTCAGTGATCACAAAGCCAATCATGGGCTCTTAGAAGTTGTCCCATGCAAGCGGCTCACTGAAGACTTTTACAGCCTGGAAGGGAGACTCTCCATGCAGAGAAATGAGGGTGGCGGAGTGAGTGAGACTTTTCTGCACTGAGACCAACACCCAGCCTTCCCTATAGCCCAAAGGAGAACAGGACAACTCCAGTGACTATGGCCCCAAAAGTTCTTTCACATCTGCATCAGGAGCACTAACTCTGCAAAGGGATTCTCATTCTGAAGACAAGGACTTACGGATGTATCAACTTCTTACCTCTCTCCGCATCTTCAAGTAAGGATCTTCTGGACACTGTCCTGGGGCGTTTAATTTGACTCCCATATTCTTCAAAACGATTTTTGTGAATGTATCACAATCATAAATCTTGAATTTCCAGCCATAAAAGACAATGTCTATGTTGATATTGAAATGATACACAGTATAAAACTGATCCTCATCAGGAGGTGGGAGAGGAATGTGATGACGCCGGATAAAAGTTCCTATGGTATGAAATAAAATACAGCTGTTTCATCGTGCAGCTAACAAGGAAGAGGTCACAGCACATCTTTGCAACAACCCCGAATGCTTTTCCACAACAGTGAAGTGGGCAAAGGGCTGGTTCTTGCAGGCAGCATTAGTATGTTCAAACTCTGAGGGTGCCAGAGGGAGCTGAGACTTCTGAGATGCAGAGTTGTTTGACCAGCCTTGCATGTTAGTTGCCTAAGTGGTACTAGGGAAGTACTTTAATAAACCATAAAGACTAGGGTGGGATGGAAGGAGGAGGTAGGTATAAACAGAGTGGCCTAATGTGCCAGACACCGCCATCATATCTTTTCCCAGAACAAACTTGATCACGTCCACCCACTAGCACTCGATGTGAGCACACTAAACAAGGCACTAAGACCTCAAAGTAGAGTGCTCACAAAAATGTATACTCTTGGTTCAAAAAACTAAGCTAATAAGCTTTAATATGGTAGGTGTCAATACCATGATTTACAGCTTCTAAAGGTATGAATGACTTTATGCTGTTCTGAAGCTTCACAGAATCTTCTTTCCTCTACCAACCTCTTCTCCCTCCTACTTTCTCTATAGCCTCTGTCAACTCCACCCAACTACCCCCACAAACTGAGGATTATCAGAGGCTTCATAGTTTTAGCCAGTGCTCTGGGACAAAGGTCCTGAATCTCATCTCCTCTTTTACTTCGCCCTATGATGCCCATTCACTTCTCCTTTTGAGAATACGGACCCAGGGTCCCCAAGTATACACAAAATGGTGATTAGCCACTGGAGGTAAAAGGGTTCCCTTCCTAGATGAGTGTACCAACTATATCACACCACACCAGCCAACTTATCTAAACACTGCTGAAACCTATTGTCAAGAATTGTTTAGGGTTTGTGATTTTACCCTACTTTCAAGCTAACAAATTGGCCTGCCACAGTTTCATGGATGCTGGTAGAAGACACAAGCTGCTTTGATTAGAGATAAAGGGCAGTTTATTACTCACAGCAATAACAGTAGCCAGAACATCAGCATTTTTTGCACCAGTTTCCTGAGCCTCAATTCCTACAGGATGATACAATAAGGTCCAGGTAGCCCCCGCACACACAGTGGGTACTTACAGGAGAGGAACCCCGAGCTTAGGGAACCCGAATCTTTTATAATGGGCAATAAGCATTCATGCCTTTTGTCTCAGAGGGAGACATTATCTTTATTAGACTGGACAATAAGCATGTCTGCCCCTTGTTCCCAAAGGAGACAACATCTCTATCTTCCAAGGCTATGAGCAAACCTGTGCTTTGCTCCAGAGGGAGAGACTATCTTTGTCTTCCAAAGCTGTTTGCTATATAAATATCCTTGAAGAGAGAGTCTAGAACAAAGAGCAGTCAGTGCCTCTGCTTGCAAGATCTACAGAAATGCAAGATACCAGTGGAGAATTATCTCTCAACATCTGTGACTGACTTAGGCCTGAGAATCTGCTCCACCAATAAAGAGAAAAGGAGAAAAGGCAAGCAGAGCCAAGTGAGGGTCTAATGGTTCAAGAAAAACCGGCTTGTGGGACCTTTATATGGAAGCATTTAGTATAAAGATGTCAAGCAATCTTCTTCATATTTTATATAGCATTGAGAATGTCGCCTTGTCTTAAAGTCTAGAAATACTTAGAAATTATTCATTCTATTCATTAAGGAACATTTAATGAATATCTTCATGTGCCAGGAACTGTGTTGAGCTCTGTTCCATTATTCTACTAATCATCTTTTCACTCTGTTGAAAGGAAATTAACTAAAATTATTTTCATCTTCTTTTCTTTGTAGCAATTTTTAATTACTTGGTACATTAAATTAAAATGATAAAACTATAAAATTAGAACTGGCCTAGAATATTTTTAAATGTACTACATAAAAGATGATATAATTTTACTGCAAAAAATTATACTTCAATTAGCCTTTAATTCATGCCACTGAAAACAGTATGCAAATTATTTAATCATTCAAGATTAGACATTTAGAACAAATTGCATACTTAAACATCTATAAAAGCATGAGCATTTCAGGTATTTTCAGAAACCATTATATATCTCTTTAAAAGTACTTATATTGTGACAGTTTTTAAAATATATAAGATTTATTCAACAGCCAGGAGCTTCTTTAGAAATTCCATCTATCTTGCATTTGTACTTCAGTATAAAAATTCCAGTAAGCAAGTCAGCGCTGATTTCTGTTCAGTAAGACTTCGAATAGGAATCCTATATTTTTCCAGGTGGGAAGAACTGACTGACCCACTGAGTTTTTAAATAATAATAATAATCACAATCATCATTATAGCCCTAGGATATGCTTTCATATACATTTTCTCATTTAATCTTCAATAATCCCATGAGGCAGCTAACGCATAAAATATAAATATTCAGTTTATGGATGAGAAAACTAAAGCTCAGAGTGGTTAATTGATGTGCCCAAGGTCACACCCTAACAAATGGCAGAAAAGATCTTGAACCTGGGTTTTCAAGCTCTAAGTAAATACCATTACTTTCCACAGTTTGCACTACTAAGGTATATCTCACGGTACTGCAGACACAAATTACTTAAGCGAAGGAGAGTAAGGAGTGTTACGGCAACACAGAATAGAAATGGGGAGAAGGGCTGCCAGCATCATGAAAAGGAGAGAGAGAGATGATAGAGCTGCTCTTCCAAAAGAACAACTTCCCTCTTCTCTAAAGGCAAATTTCTAGAGACGGCCCACTTGCCAGTTGCAGCAATCCCCCCTCGAGGGCCAGCACCACTGTATTACCTACACCCCTCCCTTAGGAGCCTGCATACCCTACACCCTCACACTCTTCCTTATCTTAGCTCCCACACTTCTCTCACTAAGTGGTACTCAGGAAAGGCCCTGGAAGTTCTTAGGGGTAACAAAAAAAAGATTCCCGACCATCCATGGGTTGGAAACAGAAGGCAGATCTAACACCAAACAAGAAAATATTAATATCAAGAAATCCAAAGTCCCAATTCCATGTTAATCAGAAAATTAATGTGGGCTATTTGAAATGTATGGTAGCACACGACAGCTTTCAATAGTATATTCGTGGGATCTCTCAACTGCGTCCTTTGGGGATTGAAATTTCTATTTATTGGTAATTGTGTGTTTATAGTCTTCCATGATAAATGCAGAAACTCCACCAGCAGGAATTTGTTCTGGAATATCAAAGAAATGGGCAGGATGCTATGTCTTTGGAACCCGAGATCATTAAGGTACGTAAATAAAAATAATGCTACAAAATGGAAAAACAACAAAAGCACCATATCTGCCCTTTAAATTTTTAGATGTTTATTGTCCTAACTGCCTCGTAAAGACAATTTGGGCAAACGTCCATCATCAGTGCTTGCTTTTAAGCTCTTCCTTATCTTCATATTCTACGTCTCTCTTCCTTTTTAAAGGCCCTGCTATCTGATTGTACTCTGCAAGCTTTAACTTTCTAACATTTCCCTGTGGTTTAGATCAAAATGATGATATATCCATTTATGTTTAATGCTTTTTCATTTCATTCCGTTGGGACTGGCTTTAGATCTTTGTTCAAACCACTAAATTTAGTTTTTAGGAATTCACCTTTCAGAATTAAGACTTCAACCTCCTATCTGTATCTTAATTTTAAGTACGTTTACTTCATTTTAGTAACGTTTAGACCTAGAGTACATCCAAGTCTAGAGGCAGGTACTTCTTAGGTAAATGAATATACAACTGGAATTGCCACTTGTCACCATGTTTACTAAGTTTGTATCCTAAAAATACTAAGACCCTTCACTGTCATCAGACGAGAAATAGTATCTTTCTTCCCCCCTTTTGTGTTCATTATTATCCCTTCACTAAAGTGACTATTCCATTTTTATTTTTATAAAATGTCACTTTTAGAGTTTTTGTTTCATAACTTTTTTATATAGATAGCCTGACCTCTGTCTTGTAGCAAACGAATTAAAAATTCCACATCTCTGATCATAATAATAACAATCGCATGCATCTCCCCCGGCCTTTGAATGAGCCCCAAACGATAGCATGTTAGGTGCTTTAATGTCCTCGTGCATTACTGCCTTCTTGCCTAGTTCTTCTTACATATTCTATGATCTGCTCCCAAATACCTCCCACTCCTCATCCCCTCACTACCCCACCTCTGTATCTCATGCTGTTCCTTTTGACTAATGTGTCTTCCTCTTCCATCTTTATCTGGAGAAGCTTTTGAGGCACTACTCAAATGCCTTCTTCTCTAGTGGCTATTGGCTTTTCCTCCTCTGATCCCAAAAAGTACCTGGTACCACTTATGATCCCTGCATTGTGTTATGAACATTGTCCATCATTTTTCCTTTCCCTTTTTCCTCCCTGCCTTCCTTCCTTCCTTCCTTCAACAAATATTTATTGAACAGCCACATGGACCAAGCACCTATCTTCATGGACCAGTGACTTACCTCCACTCTTAAATTCTACTCTGCCCTATTCAATGACAACTGCCCCCCAGAAAGGTCCACCCTTTGGGGTTGCCAAATTTAGCAAATTGAAATATAGGATGCCTAGTTAAATTTGAATTCCAGATAAACAATGAATAATTTTTAGTATAAGTATGTCCCATGAACTATTTGGGTCATAGTTATACTAAAAACTTCATTACTTATCTTAAATTCTAATTTAACTGGGCATTTTGTATTTTAACTGGCAATCATACTACCACCACTCCTCTACTTTATGGGGCACAGTACTTAGATATAGTATATGCCCAATATGAATGAATGACATATAAATGACCTCTATTTCGTGATTACGTTTGCTTGCTTAAGGTAGATTATCTTAGAATATAAAAAATATACATAAAAAATACTACCTGTTGAGGGGCCAAAACAAATCACTAGGGGAGATCAGTGTTCCTAATGAAGGATGCACTAAGAACCAAGTGGAAGCCAGTTCTTGACCCCAGGACTACAGAATCAGAAATTGTTTAAAAAAAAAAACTTTCAAGGA